GGAGCGACCAAGCCGTGGTCGAGGGATGATGGTTGCCGCAATTGCCGCCGCTCCGTTCGAGAGCGGTCTGCGCGCTCAATCGAATCCAGAAAGAGCGCTGGTCCCTGACCAAGGTTCTATGCGTTGGAAAGTGAGGAGCCCGTCCGTTGAACGGTCAATCTGGCGAAACCTGGATAAATGGATGCGCGCGAAAGAACCGCCGTTAGAGCACTGTAGTGCCAGTGGGCGTGTCAAGCAGAGTGCTGGCGTTCGACTGATGATGATGTGAGTTGCGCTGGGGCGGAGGAGTGGACCCTTGAACGCTCCAAGCGCGCTTGAGGGGGGATGGACTGAGCCCGAGAGCGGTGTGGATTCAGAGTGCAACCAGGCTAAGCTGAGCTAATTGCAACGCTGTACGCATAGGGTAACGCCGCTGACGCCAAGCTCTGCGATGTCAGGGCAAGAGCAAGGCGTGGCAGCAAGAGCGGGAGAGAGAGAGCGCCTGTGAGAGATCGAGTGGATGGATGGAGTTACTTTCGTGGTGACGAGTCTGCAGTCACGAAACATGCGGCGCGCGCGGCCGCACTGTGGCTGTATTGCTGATAGGCGGGGTGCGTGTCGGAACACGAAAGCTGAAAGTGAGTGAAAGTGAGTGGCTAGCGCTGGCTAGCGTGAAAGAAGGTTTAAGCTTGTAGAGCCTCTGAGTTGTGCTGATCACAGTCGGTCGGGGGAGTCGCAGTGTGAGTGTGAGTATGAGTGTGAGTGGTAGGGGATGTGCAGGTGCGAAAAAGGTCAGTGGGATGGATCATGTCGACCTTGTCATTCCCTTTCAACAGACACAGACAGCACAGACACATCCGCCTGCAGAACCCCGCGGCGTTGTGCTTGTGCTATCCGCGAACGGTCAAACACTCAAAACTTGTAAACGCTCGCTCGCGCACTCGCGCATGCATGCAGCGCCGTTGATGTTGGTGGCCGGGCATGCAAGCGCAGCGCTACGCTATATCGTCGTATACCGCCCACGTACTCAACTCACGTCTCACATCACTCGATCGTGAATATATACCTGCACTGTACCGGTATACAATGTGAATCGTGGATCACATGATATCCAGCATGCGCAGCATCATCAACCACAATACGCGTTTCCCGGTACGCAGTACGGTACCGCGGGTCTCGCGTCGAGGGGAACCGTGCGCGCGCGTGCATGAGCGCCACCCACAACTCAAACATCAACACCGCGCAAGGGCGAACGCGCGCGCGCGCGCGCGCGTGTGCGAGAGAGGTGAACGCGCTTCACGTTCTGCTGCTTCAGCCACAGCCAGCACCCATCAGCGTCCTCACGTGAACAGCTGGCGGATCAAAACTGGTCCACAGATTCGGACTTCAGGCCTCTCACTGCTTCACTGCCACCAGACACTCCGCTCGGTCTTTCGTACCCACCCTGTCGATCCAACAGCTGATCAAGCGGTTTCAATATGAACACGTTCAACACGCAACCAATCCATCACGCTCAAGAAAGAGAAGGCGGGCGCTATTTTGAAAAGCCTCCGCTGCTGCTACCCTGCGCGCGCTGATGGATGGATGCATGCATGCATGCACATTCCGCTCATGCGCAAAACGGTGCGCCGCGCGCGTCAGGGGGCGAACCCATCTGCAGTCAAGAGTCAAGAGTATCCAGCTTTTGACTTTTGACCCCTTTTATGTACAGCAACCATCGTTCTACTCACGCTCCGAGCTATTCACCGATCGTTTGAGAGTTGAGTTGGTTGCCATAGACGAACTGGCTTCATCCGATATTCTCCCAGCGTCTCATCCAACATTCGATTCAAATCCTTGCTCAAGGAAAGGTGGCGCAAGCGTTGCGAGAAGCTGGGTCGCCGGTAAAGATGTCACGTGTGCAATCACGTGAGTCATGCAGCTACCGAGCGGAAAGCACACCAGTCAGTCAACAGTTTTGAGTCATGAGTCTGCAGGTGAAGGCGTAATCATGCTTGGGCGTGGGCGCAATTGGAATCACAATAGCCGTAGCCGCACGCGGGCACTTCATCGGTCCATGTGGATTGTGTTTGTTGAAGCGCGGCGCCACCTGCCATGAAACCACGATGGAGCGAGCGGCTGCGCCTTTCCTCCGAAGATCCACCATCCTATAGCTCGTCCTGCCCTTGAATTGCAATACAAATTGATGAGTGGTCTTTAGCAGAGACAAGAGTCCGGAGCACAATGAGTTAGAATGGCCGGTCCGGATGTCTTTCTTGAGTCATAGGTTGTGGGCGAACATTCAGTGATTCGCAGGCGGGGGCGAAGGCTGGTCTGATCTGTGATTCAGGAGACAGTGATCGGTGCGTCGTGAACGTCAGACTGAACTGTGCCTGAAAGCGTGAACACATGAAGGTGGTAGGGTGGGAGATGTGGCCATGGCGGACCCGCAAGAGCTCAGCGCTGCTTATACGCGCGCGCACGCACGCACGCACGCACGCACGCATCAAGGGCCAGCCAGCATGAGCGTGATGCAGCCAGCGCTCGGGGCACCTCGCTCGCGTGACGAAGCGCCCACGCAGCTGCTTATTGAATGCATGGAGCAGTGTGAGTGTCAGTCGCAGCTTTACGGCGGTGCTGTGCCTGTCTGCGGGGCGTGGGCGTGTTGTGGGAAGAAGGGCATGAATGCTGGCACTGGACATGTGCCTTGCTTTGCTCATGCTTCTCGATCAAAGTTGGCCCAAACCCGTTTGCTTGCTTGCTTGCTTTGCTTGCTTGCTTCCCGACCAGCAACAACAAGCCCAAGTCCAATAGCTCATCGATAAAGAAGTTTTGTTCACTCGCCCTTGTCCACTATCAAGAGCCAAGTTTCTTGCTTGCCAAGGTAGCCCTCAGTCAATCCGTGGTTGTTTCGTCAATCTTCCTACGCCACTCCGTCCCCAATCTGACCAGATAGTCCTGCAGACAACAAACCAGGCTGTTGAGGTCCAAAGCTGGACATCGCAAATCACATCCCAGCATACCAGAGAGAGAGAGAGCTGCGACCAAGAGCTCCACATCACATTGCAGAGTCATTCAGCTCGAGTTCACTTCGTTGCCACCAGCCCTATCCGCGCTCATAGCCAAGATGGCTGCCGATTCTGCCAACATTGCCACCCAACCTGCTGCTGCTGCGCCGGCTCTTGCTGAGGGTACTGCAGCTACCAGCAATCCTTTGCAGGCGAGTAGCGAGAACCCGGCTGCAGCCGCTGCTGGCGCTCTTGCTGCCGACGACGACAAGAAGGTGAGTGACGCTACTGGTCAAGCCAACCAGCTAGAATGCGCCGCAAAATCCCGTGTATCGACGCGCACAATCTGGGACACGATAGCGACCACCAATCCTTGGCTGTCTGCTGACGCAGTAATCAAACCTCATGCTCTCATCTTCCCCTTTGCAATTGTCACAGGCTCAGCAGGTCTTCGCTGGTGAGTAGATCAGTGCTTGTCTCGTTTTCGACTACATTCAACGCATTCATGCTGACACTGAAGGTTCTCGCTCATCTTCTTTGTCCAGGCAATCTGGCATTCGCCACCACCGAGGACGAACTCAAGCAGCTCTTTTCCGAGGCTGGTACAGTGTGAGTGCGAGTGCCAGTACCGGGTCGAGGGAGGTGCAAGCCGCGAACGCTGAAGTGATCTTGCCGCTTGCCACAGTACAAGCGCTCAAATTATCACTCGCGGCACTCGTTCCCTCGGGTACGGATTTGTCACCTTCACGACCGAGTCCGAAGCCAACAAGGCTGTCACACTGTTCCACAAGCGCGAGATTGCGGGCCGCGAGATCAACGTAGAGAGCGCCAAGGCTCGCTCAGCTGCCAGAGCTGCTGTGGAGGCTGCTCAGAAGTCCGATGCTGTGGATGGCGAGAAGAAGGGCGCCAAGTCAGCTCGTGGACGCGGACGCGGAGGTCGCCGCGGAGGCGTGAGTAATTTGCGAGAATAATGAACAGCAATGACATGAGATCCTTACGCTTACTAGGTCGCGTTCATCACTCTCATCAGGCGACTGGACGTCGTCCTCGTACTGATGAAGGCGAAGAAGGCACCGCAGAAGGCGAAGCCACTACTGCGGAAGAAGCACCCGGAACAAAGGCGAGCGCGCCAGCTGCCAAAGCTTCCAAGCCCAAGGGTAAGGCTGGTGTAGCAGGTGCCGCGAATGGCGAAGCCAAAGATGGCGCTGCAGCAACTGAAGGCGGCAAGAAGGCGAAGGCCGCAAAGAAGCCTCGCGAGCCCAAGGGAACGCCCGAGGGCACTCCGAGCAAGACTTTGGTCTTTGTTTCCAATCTGCCCTTCAACTTTAGCGATGCTCAGCTGCGCGCCGTCTTCGATTCCGAGAGTGCGGGATTGGGCGGCAAAGATGCGGTGAAGAGCGCCAAGGTGGTCAAGAGGCCTCACACGGGCAAGACGAAAGGTTTTGGATTCGTCGATCTCAAAGATGAGGCTACGCAGACTTTGGCGCTGGAAAAGATCAAGGGCATCACGGTTGAGGGAAGAGAGATTGGAGTCAAGGTGGCTGTGCAAACGGAACGCAAGGTTGCAGAGGGTGGAAAGGACGATGCGGCAGCGGTGGCTGCTAGCGCTATTGAAGCCAAGCCCGAGCCCGATACCGCTCCGTCTGCACCTGGCGTCTGAGCAGGTGGCAGGTGCCCCCCGCCCCCCTTTTTTTTCCATACATTAGCTTTTGACTTCTCAGCTTTGTGCGCGCCCCCGCTGTGGCGTGCGTGCCGAGCGAGCTTTCGAAATGCTCTACAACGTCTCGAGCACGTTTTCCCCATCGCTCTTCATGCTCGACTTGCTCCTCACTTCTTTTCCCGACAAGCAAGCCCCGCCGAAGGAAATGTCACAGAAGATACAGAAGAAATGAAGAATGACGTGGCTGGCTGGCTGGGCTTTCCTTTTACCACTTTTCTTTGCCTCAAACACATGTTGAACCCCGCGGCAAAATCTTGCTTTTTGATTTGTGTTGTTCTCTTGTGCGAAGAAAGTTGAAAGCGGTAAAAGCAGTCCGTCGGGGCGGGGCAACTCATCTTGCACAGCCTGTCAGTGTAGATAAGCGGGGGGCCAAACGATCGATGGCAAGCTTGGCACACTGCAAGGCATCAAACCCAAAATGTTGATTGAAATGCCCCACCCCCCC